TAGCTGGCTCTTTAATTGGTTAATATTATGCTATATTTCTGCCATTAATTCTCCTGTTCATCACTCTTATAATCAGCAACATTTCAACATTTCAGCAACTCTTAAGCTTCCCTCAGCTAGCCTGTTGGTTTCTTATTGAATGTCAACAATCTTTTGCCCCACCTGATGCAGCTGGTCAGCAGCGGCGGCAGCGACATCACCATCAGCTGGGTGGATTTGGGCTCAGAGCGGATTACTGGGGAGAGGGGTATTATTGTTTTTTTTCCTACTGGCACTGGGACTCTACTCTTTGTGCTTTCCTAATCAGACCTCAGTGGAGACTTTCTCCAGCAGCTGACTGGACACTCAGCAGGAGAGCAGCGTTGTTTTCTTTAATAATCGCAGATGTTACATTGGAGCATTTTCATTTTTGATTACAGAAAAAATATGAAAGGATAAGTCTCCCAGCAGTTTGGTCTGTTTACTTTTTCTTCAGGTGAGTGCCATGCATCTAGTTTTAGATGCTTTGCATTTGCTTTCACTAACAAATTTGATTAGAAAGTATTGTGCTTGAGTAGTTCAAAGCATCTAAACTATTTATTTAAAGAATGAACTGCAATATTTAACACAAAAGTTCAGGACATGCACTGTCCCGTGCATCCTTCGGCATTCCTCCGTACCCTCCGCGATCCTTCATTGTAGGTTAAGCGGTCAGTGTTGTTTCAGCGGTTTGGATTAACACTCCTCTCCTCCTATAGCACACCATAAACAGATTAGTGGTCTCCAAGTCAGGGCACGGCTGGGCCATCTGTACCCTGCACTGGGTGGGGATGGGGACATGGGGGTGGAGTGTGAGCAGATGTTCCAGAGGGGCTGTAGGTCAGTAGGGCCGAGGGACCGTCAGTCACGAAGGACGCGGAGTTCCTGTTCAGGTGACGGATTTAAAGTGAGTTTAAACCACCGTGCATTGTCATGGCTCTGGGATGCTGCATCGCCCTCACACCCCAAGGTACTGTATAATTTACTGAGGCTTTAATTGAGCCGCATGCACCTCCCACTTCGCTCCTGCTCTGCATGTCAACCACAGCGGTTTCACACTTTGTCACAAGATGTAAGACGCGATGATGAAGAGTTTGTTTTTCACGGTTAGTTCGAACCGTGTTAAAAACCCAAACGCTCCCCACACACTACACTTGTCCTGCAGCGTGAGCAACCCCAAAGAAAAAAAGGAATCAAAGATTCACTCGCGTAAATTACACACAGCTGAAACAGCAATGTGCAAGCTCATCTGTCTGCCTGTTGCATGTACAGAAGTTCAGATTTAGAGTTTTTCTAAAGTTCTACGTGTGACCTAATGGCTGACATCTGCGGCTCTGTCCTCCCAGGCCGCTGGCAAATTGTAGGTGTGTGAGCGTAGGTGTGAGGCTGTTTTGACTTGGCTCCTGTCTGAGCCAAAACCGAGAAAATTACAAGGCAGAGGCAGTCTGGGGATGCATGCAGGCTTTCATTGCCCCTCTTCTCCTGGCCTGCAGGGCTGAGTGCAGTGGGGGATGATCCTGCAGCAAATGAAGAGGTGGAGATGAGATTGATAGGCAGTGTCACAGTGCACATAATAGAGTGTGATTTCACCTCGCCAGGAAAGTTAACAGAAAGATGCCACAAGCAACGACGCAAATATACAGAAATGCTCCTCAAAAAAAATTTTTTCTCTTCTTCTTCTTCTCACCGGAGGCCATTTGGCTCAATATAGCCATGCTGCAAATCAATCAGCCCGATGTGAAACAAAGAGAAAGCTGCCAAGAGGTCAATGAGATGGCTGCAGCCTGATGTGTTTTCTTAGGCCTCACTGGGGGCAACAGCTGACCACTAAATTAGCACTAAAAGCTTTGCCCATATGGACTTCTGTGTCCATGAAAACCTCTCTTAAAGGCCTCTAATGAACTCGTGCTCTGGCGCACAAACACAGCCTCACTTAACCAAGATTTCAGCGAGCAAGGTCAAAGGAAGTACTGATGTGTTTTTTAGCTGGAGGACGATAAAAACGGGGAAGGTTGAATGGAGTCAGATGATGAGAGCACAGTGTTTGTCCTAGTTGGGGCTGCTATTGTTGTCAAATGGGTTTTTAGTGTGTTGTGAGACACTGAGGGTGTCACAGCAAGGCCAACAGTTCACAGCTCAGTGGGGAAGCACTGAGGGGAGAGGCTGACAAGCAGTGTCAGAGGGCTCCTCATTTCACCATAATTTACACGACAAACGTATCATCTGCTCCACGTCTGAAATATTGTGGGCGTTTGCTCGGTTATATATTACTGCACCGATATTAAATCTGTGGCAAGTCCAATAAATAAATATAATAAATGCAGATATATCCATCCAGGTCCTACAGGGGTTTTCCTGCATTTAAAAAAAATTGGCAGCTAACAAAGGTGACTGTTTCATGTTTTATATTTTAAACCTGGCTGTTTATTTACAACACGCATGCAAAGTCATATATGGCAGCAGGTAGGAAACATCTGGCGGGCGTAAAACAATTTCATTAAGATTCGAGTGAAGCGGTGCTTCCACACCGGTGTAAATCTTTGCTGAGTTCACCTCCAGCTTCTCCAGCTGTGCAGGAGATGCAACACAGAGCGTGTTTTTAGTTCAGCGAGGTCACACAGCAGAGGGCTTTTAGATCACCCTGGAAAACGTCAGGTTGTGTCGGCGTAGCTGATAAACACGTCGCGTCTCCTGGGGATTTCGCAGTGTTTCTTAGAAAGGACCTGCCAGAGGATTCATAGCAGTGATAGTGATGTTAGAAAAGCACTTAGCATACGCAGCAGTTGGATACACAGGCTGAGGTTTAGTGTCGGGCTGCTGCGATGGGTATTCCTGACCTTTAGTAGCTCCAGTCAGGAGTTGGACCGTGTCCTTTTCTGTGTGAACGAGGCTAAAGTTAACTTCTGGCTGCAACACAAAGCAAACTGCGAGCCAGAGCTGCCTCTCATCAGACACAGAGGTCAGATAGAGTGCGATTCGGCAAAGCTGCCCGGTCAAGGACAGGCCCAGAAATGTCAGGCAGGTAAGAGAAGACTGACAGATCTGTCTTTGTGTGCTATCAAAGCAAAAGCTCAGCAGTTAATCCTCAGGATTTTACTTGGATTTCGCTGCAGATGTCTGAGATACTATCTCACGCCAGTGCCTTCAATGAAGGAGTCTTATTTCATGCAACCAAACTATGCTGTTATTTTAATCTACTCATGCTGGTTTCTCTCTGACATCTTGTTCTTGTATGAATAACTCCTGTGCATACTTCAAGCAGTCAACATCCAAATAAGTCCCAGCACAAAGACCAGACTTCATCCTTTTGAACTCAAACTTTCCCCATTCATGCAGCCCCTCCATGCATTATGTGTAATTTGAAGCGGTGCAGTAACTCGAGGAGATGTAAGGGGGAGCAGTGGGGTTATTCCATGTATTGGTCAGTGTTTAGAGGATGAAAGTCACACTATCAGGTTGCATTAATACCTATTGTTTGGCTGCAGGTGATAGCATTGCATTAGTAAACAGGCTATTGTGCTGCTAACATTGGATGTGATTATCTGGATTTTTAGTCTCAGGCTTTAAGCTGACTCTGTTGTTCTCCCAACTAATAAAAAACCCTTCAGTGTTCATATGTAGAAGGAGATAACATTCAAAGCCACCACAAAGCAAAGCTCATCAGTTGCATTTGTTTCAGAAAATGTGGACGTCACACATTTTAACCACAAAAATGCCTGAATGAACGTCCAGTACAGTCGTGATGAAAGCTGCCTTTCCGTGATGCAGCCATCATGTCTCAATAAGGGTTACAAGAAGCATGACGAAATAATGGACTGATAGTAGCCATTGTCCTTTAAAGGAAATCCATGAACGATAAAAATCTGACTGTTAAAGTTATCAGATAACAGGTTGGATAAACTAGTGAAATATCAGCTAATTATGATGAAAAGCTGGTCTCTATAAAGTGACAGAATAAATTAACTAATTAATGACCCACCAGCCAATTCATTAGGTTTACCTGCTTGTTAATACAAGTATCTAATCATCCAATCACGTGGCACCAAATGAATGCATTCAGGCATGTAAACATTGTCAAGACAGCCTGCTGAAATTCAAACAGAGCATCAGAATGGGGAAGGACGGTGACTTTGTCTCTTAAATCCTCCGCAAACAATTTGGTTAGTTCTCTGGGTGACAGTGGCTTATTAATGGCCAGACTGCTTCAAGCTGAAGGCAATAGTAACTCAAATAACCAGTTGTTAAAAACAAGATATGCAGAAGAGCATCTCAAAGCTTGAAGGAGATGAGCTACAGCAGCAAAAGTTCACACCTGGTGCCTCTACAGTCAGTTAGGAACTTCAAGGTTCAAGGTTCTTTGTCACATGCATAGTTATACAAGTATAACACACAGTGAAATGTAGCCTGACACGCTCCTCGACATGTGCAAAAATTGGGGGGGGGTGTAGAGGAAGAACATTATATATATATATATATATATATATATATATATATATACATACACACACACACACACACTGGGTGAATGTGCAGTAGTAGCAGCAAGCAGGTGAATTCTGTACATTAATATGAATAGACATCTGACTATCTGACAACTTGACAACTTGAAACTGATGCTAAGATTTAAAGTGGCTTTTTCCAGACGATTGGAAAAACGTTGCTTCCCACAGAATAGCAAAACCAAGTGATTACTCATAGAGGTTCGTCTGATTGTTGGAGCTTTCTCTATTAATGGAAGGCTCATTCAATTGAGATCTTTTTGTGACCATTTCTCCTCACTAAACTTCCAATGTAAAGCAACACGTTTCAAACTATTACCTAGTCACATGGGTGTGGCTTAATTTGTGCTTCAGTGAGATGTTTTAGGATCATATAGATGCCCTTGTGCCTTATAAATGATGACACTGGATTGTCTGTGACCACACTGTTGAATTTCACTAGAAAAGGTTTGTCATTTTTAGCTATCTCTCTCTCCCTGACAGCGGTATCTAACCTGGATGTGGAGAGTAAGCTGACAGCACACTACCAAGCTCCCTGGCATCAGCAGAGGAACGTTTTCCATCCCTCTACGCGGCCAGAATGTGTGGAAGAGCTCCACAGGCAAGCCAAAACCAGCCTGTGGGCCCTGCACCGAGGTGAGGCCCTCAGGAGCACTCAGCTCCTCAGATTGCAACACAGGAGGGAAAGCTGCTCTCTGTCATGCCTAGTTAATAAACTGTTCACTTTTCCCTTATGTGCCATTTAAAAACATTTCAGCTATAACATGCATCCTTCCAGGCAGGTCTGCAGCCTGTGTTTGGAGGCATCGTGCCCTCTAGTGGACATGTTGTGCAACTACAACGTAAATAACAAGCATGTTCAGAGGCCATTTTCACACAGACAGTCTATCTACAACTTAAAAAAACCATAAATAGTCAAGCATCAAAGAAGTGCACTTATGAATTCATCAAAATCACTTTAGTCATGCACTCTTAAGCACAACACTACACAATAATTCCTGGGTAAATTCAATGCAGAAAAAATGGCTGACCAAGGACTCATATCTAACCAGATTAATCTGACCCCGCAGGTCGGTCTGCATGTGACACCTCTCGACACTTATATTTTATTATCTCAGTGAACAAATACAATTGATCTTCAGTGTTTTACATCTTTTTTGCTGCAGATCACCGGAGGAGACGATCGGGCAGCAGGGAGCGGAGAGTTACCATCGCAATCTCGCCGGTGCCCCCAATGCCGATGTGTCCCCCCCCTCAGAGGGGAACAAATTTAACAACGGTGAGACGATTGTCCTCGACTTTGATCCAAACTGCTTTAAAAGATCTTCTTGATTTCAGTATGAAAATCACCAAGTCCAGTGACACCATCACTATAATTCATATTGATAGACACAGATGTGAAAAATAATCATCTTTTGATATTCAAATGTTGCTTCTATTGCATTTTAAAGGGAACTTAATCTGCTTTTATTTATTTTCTTACATATACCACACCAGTGGTCAGTGCTTTTACTACCCATGGCCATAGTTTCCAATAAAGAAGTCAGTGCGTATACAAGTAATCCCTGTGAGCCAACAGCTCAGACAAACACTCAGTTTAAGACAGTTTTTTTTTTCCAATCTTGGCTCTTGCTGACATCAGTAAGAGCAGATATTCCTTATATGATCTCAGGTCAGTCTCCTCTCTTTCCCAGACTGTAAACTAATGAAATGTCACTAGTTTACACCCGGTTGTGTTTTAGTAATGACGCTGTTATTTATAATATTCTAATATGCATTTTTATATAAATATTGTAGTTTTATTTTTAAATGTCAAGGTTATCTTCAGTACCAGTATATTATGGTACAGCTAAATGCTATAATAGCCTGTCCCAGATCACAGAAAAGGATCAGATGGAAAATCCATTCTGGAAAAACTGTGAAACAAATCTGTCCGTACCAGCACTGATGCAGAGCTTTCTTTCTGAACTGAGACACGTCAAGCACCGATATGAATGGTTTGAGGGTTGCGATGACATTACAGCACACACTGTGCTGTGACCATAACTGAGGCTCTGCTTGTGTAGTTAGCCTCCAACTGCATTCCCAGTCATAAATCATTCAGATGTGCCTTATATTTTCTCCTACTGTATTTGTTTAACTGTCCACTTATTGTGCTACAAAACACTAAGTTTCACTTACATCAGGGATCTCGAACTCCAGGACTCGAGCGCCGGTGTCCTGCAGGTTTTAGATCTCATCCAGGATCAACACACCTGAATCAAATGTCATGTCAAAGACATGTTGAGGAAGTCATTTAGCCATTTAAATCTGCTGTGTTGGATCAAGGACACATCTAAAACCTGCAGGATACCGTTGCCACCGCCATCACTGACACAGACTTTATGGCCTCTAAAACGGGACGGTTATCTCTCAATGCCTTGATTCTAAAAGACATCTTGTGCGCAATGAAGAGCAGCAAGCAGCATCTGAAAAAATGACCATTACACCTGTCCAAGCCTTCTGTCCGAGAAGGGGAGCCAATCAGAAGAAAGTTGGCTTGATGAAGGGAGGGAAAGGGAGTTAAAACAGTATAAGACAAATCAGAGTTTTCAAGAATCTTTTTAAAAATGTAGTTGGAAATGTGCATAATGATTTCCCTTTAAATAATATTTGTATGGTTTTTATTTCCTTTGATCAAAGGAGCCAGAGAGGCATTTTAGAGATGCAACGACACAGTTAGCACAGGTAAAGGGGACTGTGTTTGTCACGTGTGTGCTGCTTCATTCATGTTTTATTCATTTTTTCATCACCATAACTGGTTCAGCATCAGCTCACCAGCCTGCCTTGACCCAAATATTTCAGTGTTCATATTCCTCCCTAATGTTGTCTCTTATGTTTGTGTGTTGAAGATCTCCATGTTCATTCCTGCCATGTGCTTTTGTCCTTTTTTGTTTGTTTGTTTTTCACCCTGTAATTCAGTTCGAATCCACCCGCTCCTCCTCCCCTACCGAATGTTGCCACTTCTCTCCCTGGAGCAGAAAGGTATTGGTCCCTTCCCTCCCTCGCCGTCCTCCTATTCCTAACACCTTATTTCACATGTCCGCCCCGACTGACCTCTACTTATCTCTTTTTAAATGCATGCCCTCTCTCTTACTGGCAGTAGTAGCCATCCTGCTCCACCCGGTTGAGAGGGTGGGGTGATACTGAAGGCGAGCACCTCTTTAAAGTTTCACCCACACATCACATGTTTACATACTGTTGTTGTTGTTGTTTGAGTTCATATGAAGGGCTTGGAGTATGTGAGGAATGTGTATGTGGGCCACAATCACAGCCGCCCGGGTTTCTCTAATGATAGGGTCGGCTTCTCGAAACTTGCGCCTGTGATTACCCATGATCCCTCTGTGCTGTGGTTTCCCCACTGTACAGCTGACAGCCTCGTGTTTCTCTCTTGATTCTCTTTTCTTTTTTTAAACAAGTATCGTGCTTGATGCCCGTCGTGAGACAGGAATGAGCTTCAAACTCTGCCGCTCCTTTTTTATTTCCCCTCATCCCGTACGTGCCCACTCTTCCTCCTTTTTCTCAAATCCCTCGTCTCTTTCTCTCAGCCCGCTCATCCCTCCTCTCAGGCACTCCTGAAACCGTTCTCAAAACAAATCAGCTGTAAATGGTCTTCCTTTGATTTTTTTTTCCCTCCTAGTTGCAAGAAGTTTCCAAGGAAACCAGTTTCTTTTGTGGTCGGGGTTTTGTCAGGGTCTCATTGGTCTGCTGGGAACAGGGAGCACAAAGGCTCGAGGGTTGCCTTTAAATGGGGGTGGGAGGTTGTCGGGTTGTGGAGGTGGGAACCAGTTGAAACTGAGAATCACTCCCAGTTTCACATGTGTCTCTGTGTTGGAATCTCAAGGTAAGAAATTCATTTAGCATGCAGATATAAAGACAAGTGGCTCTGCAGAGTCTGAGGAGGCCCATGGTTGAGGAACGCTGCTGTGAAGTATTTCCTCTCAGAGATTTCTGGACACTTGTTATGATGCAGGAGACCCTCGGAAAAATTTTGGAATGTTGGAGCATGAGCTAAGAATTGAAGTTATAGTTTGTCATATCCTGTGAGTGAAGGAGGCATCATTTTATTTATTTGTAAAGTATCTGTCAAGACGTGTTCTGTAGTGTGTGTGTGTGTCAAACTTTTTATTAGCCTGAGGCTCGGACACAGTCGGGTTTCTGAACCTTAATTTTTGCATGACGTAGAGATTCTTTGAATGCTTCTTGTGCTTTCCATTCTCCCTTTTTTCCGAAGCATGCTGTTCATTTCCATGACTTAATGGTTTCTTTGCACTCCAACATTAAACTCAGCAGCTGGAAGGGCATGTGTATTGATTTACCTCTGTTCTGCCTGCAAAGAAGGGAGCACTGACTGCTGCAGATTATTAATAAGACACTAATCTCTTCATCTACTCTTCAGTTCTTTCCCAAATAAACACTTGGACAATACCAGTCTAATCCCTTACTTTAATCAGCACATTCCCCTTCCTGAAGCTGAGTTTGGTCACTTTCTAACTCCGCCAAACCATATTTCATGTAATGCTGGCCTAACCTTAACAATCTAACCATGCAAATATCCATCTGTTGCAGGCTGCGCCCTCTGACCCCGACTCTGACGGGGTGGCTCTAGGTCACCGGTCTAAGTTTCCCATCCCTAACATCCCCTCCACCCTGGACAAGCAGACTAACTGGTCTAAAGCTCTGCCGCTGCCCACTCCAGAAGAGAGAATGAAAAGCAATTCCCAAGTCATCACCTCATGTGTCATCCCCATTAATGTGACCGGTAAATTGAAATCACTGAATCTGATTGTTGTGACTGAACTAAGGTGTGGTGTGCAGTTGTCAGCAGTTGCAGCCACCTTTCTGGGGTTGTTTTTTTTTCCTGCATATAAACTTTTTTTCCTTTAGTGTTAAATAGGAATATTGATACCACTCAGACAACAAAGCAACAACCAGCTTATATTAAGTTTAGAATAAAGACTGGAAACAAGGAGCCAGCTTGCTTGACTTTGGAAGGTGAAAAAGCAAAGACGCACAGCGTAGAGGCAGCTCTGAAACATTGTAATTACAGCTCATATAATGTATTTTCAAATCTTTACAAAACCTGAAGTGTTTAAAAATAATTTTGTGATTTTTGGCAAAATGAAATTTAAGGCACCAGTCTTGCCATAAAAGTGTAAATTTACATTTTTCCTTTGCTAAAAAAAAAGTGATATAAAGATTAGTTGGATTTATATACATTTTAGCAAAGCCAAGCTTATTGTTTAACCTTTGTTTTCAGTCATGCTAAAATAAACAAATCATCCCCTTTTTCAGGCTAATTAGCCATTATAGCAGTAGTTCTACATGCTGACCTTCCTATGTACCCATATTCGTTATAGGTCATGGGGGTGGTTGATTTGTACATAGTGATAAGCTAGCTCTTTCCCTCTGTTTCTTCTGATTGCTAGAGCTGGCAAGCTAAGCTATCACTTTCCCATAGCTATATTTTTAGAGTAGCGACACAACTTGCTAACACTCAGTATTAAAAAAAAAAAAAAAAAAAAAAAAAAAAAAAAAAAAAAAGGTATTTTAATATTTTTTTACTTCTACCATAAATTAGGGATTTACTAATTACTAATAGCTAATCTAGTTAAAAGTTAGCAAATCTATTAACCTGACTGAAAGTAATGGAGCTGAAAAGCAGTAGTAAATAATGTAAACAGCTGTTATATTTTTTAGATAACACTGTTATAAATTAGCAACAAAAAAATGATTAATTGTTCAGCATAATTTATAAAAATTGGTAAATTCTAGTAAATTACAAGTAGTAAGTCCTAACAGTCAATCTATTAGCAAATAGCTATAATCATTTTTAGCTAAATGGATTAACAGCTGAAAATATTAGATAATGCTATCCAAAAAAAGAAGAAGAAGAAATATTAGTTTAATATGTTGGCCATTTTTTTTAAGTTGGTGAGCAGTTAAACCTAAAGTTTTTATTTAAAAGGTGTTATCTACATAAGCTAAATTTATGGATTAACAGTTAAAACTGTTAACTAATGCTACTAACAACATTGTAAGCTAGGTTAATGGATAAACAGGACAGTATTTTGCTAAAAACTGTGATTAAACATTTGAAAATTATTTACTAAAAGTATATTAAACTGTTAAAAAAAACTAAAAACATAAATTGAAAACTAAAAGGGAGATGAAGTTAACTATATGTGCTCAAATGAACAATGTTTGGTTTTGGCTCTTCCTCATGATACTAAAAATTTTTTCACTGTCTAATTTTCTTGAAACAATGAAGTACCTGGAAGATATAAGGAAGTGTTGCAGTTCAATCACTACTAAACAAGCCACAATTAATGTTGCTCCAGTCACTCTCAATGTGCAAGTCATGCTTTGTGCCCAGTTAACTTTGTTTCTCATCCTTTGACGCTTTGTGCCTGCTGTTGCAAAGAGGCGAGATGCAATGACATGAATGCTGATTAGTTCTGTCCAGATTGTTGAAAAGGGCAGCCTGACGTTATTTACTCTCGCTCATTTTCACTCAAAAGGAGAGCTGTACAACAACACCGGCCGAGTCAGAGACAGTGGAGGGTAAAAAATGCACATTGTAAGCAAAGCACAGCAATCGCTATGGAGCTGAAAGCTCTGACCTGCAATCACATGACAGTAAATCATATAGAGAGGGAAAGCAGAACCCTGCACATCAGGAGTTCTCTTATGTGTACAAAACCCATCATCAGTACCATTTGTTTTCTGTCCTTTTCCAAAGTTTCTTACAATTACTGCTTTGTCATTGCGTTAAGCAGTAAATAACTTACTACTTTGAGTTCTGTCAGATCTCTTTGCTCCACTCCTCACTGCTATTTTTGTGCAACACCTAAATTTGGTACGGCCGAGCGTCACCTTAAATGTTTCTTTATGTGACAGCGTGAGAGTTAAAGAAGGAATCTCTGCAGTCGCCACCAAACAAAGATTCCTCAGATGTGCTGTCTCCATTGCAGGGGTTGGCTTTGACAGAGATGCTAGTGTGCGTTGCTCGCTCGTTCACTCGCAGTCTTTGCTTCAGAGGAGACGGAAGCTGAGGAGACGGAGGACTGTTGCCGGCGTTCCGAGACAGGTGCAGCGAGACTTAGGTATGTTCCTTAAACTGACACATGCGAACACAAACTTGATTCAGTTTCGTTTTTCCTCTATTGTTTTATGTAGTTACTAGAACTAATAGTGAGTGTAGTGCACAAGCGCATATGTTACAATTATAAGGTATTTTTGAATACCAAATTCACATTGGCCAGTACTGCTTTCTGAACTAAATGCATAGTTAAATAGTTTTGTTTTTTTAACTCAGATAATTACTAAAATACTTTCTGGACTACTTTGACTATTGTTTGAATTATCCTGAAACAAATCCAAACTGCTCCTCAATTACTGTGCATAGTTGTGGTAATCTTGTCACATGCTTGCTTTGCTTGATTTTACCTAGTGGACCTTGTTAGCATTTATTTTTCACAACCTTTTCATAGTTGTGGGGTTTAAATGTTTCTCATGTTTGCTGAATGCCGTTTAATTCCACCACACAATTGGCCTAGTATCTGGTATTAAGTAGGATGGTTTTTTTTTTTGCATTTTTGCATTTACTTGTGGCTGGCAAACAGCTTCCCCTGACTTAAAAAATACCAGAAGCTTATAATAAGAGGGAAAATGTTTATTTTAAGATTTTTTTAGACAGCACGATACCTACCTACTACACATTTATTCATCACTGTTGTTTTGGACTGAGTTAGTACCCAATTCAGACTTGTAGATGTATGTATTCTATTGAATACAGTGGTTCTCCAAAAAATACATTTAAAGAACTTCATATGGGTACTGTTTTCTTTCTACCAAACTACAGCTACCAAATTTAACTGTGTATTAAGAAGTGTGCATCTATCAGTGTTGCAAACTGTATTTAGTGGTTAACTATCCCTATAATATTTTCATTGGACCATCAACAGCAGAGTTGATGGAAAATAAGATGGGAAGATGCAAAGTGCCGGTTGGAACTCCCCCACCCCACTCATACTGCTCATTTCCAGCTCCATATTAGTTTTCTTGGACCATGCTTAGAGTAGCTTTGCGTGATTCACAGTTCAAAATAATGCTTGTTTATGTTTTTCTGGGCCTTAATGCAGGCCGTCCTGTCCAAAACAAGCTGTACAGGTCCTTCCACTGTATGGCTGAAATTATCATATTTGGCATATCCCTCTCAGTGACATCGTCACAAACCAAGAATAGAAAAACTGCCTGAAAGAGTATTTCAAGTATGTTTGACTCACAAGGATTACTTCTACATATATACTTGATTTTCTTATTTGAAACTTTGGCCATGTTTGATTTGAGCATCCACAATTGTAGCAGTTTATATATGACAGAACATAAAGACAAGCATTACAACAGACACAAATCCCTTGCAGTTTCTCTCAGGAAGAGCAAAAGTGTAAAGATCTGCCAAATCAAACGTGCAACCACCTCCTGTGGTGACACTTTGTGACAAGTGGAGCACCTGAAAGTATTTTTTTTATAACAGGTTACCTTTAAATACATGAAGAAAGACATTTGAATTTCTTATTCTTGTATTTTGTGTGCGTCTTGCTTCTCACAGATTCTGATGACTCTCCTGGCTCCAGAGAGCGGACAGTGATAGTTCACGCCAGTGCAGATATCACCCCTTCCATGCAAGAGTTTGCCAGCCATCTCAACACCAGAGACTCGGGTTGTCAGACAGAAGACTTTTTGATCTCAGGAGCACCATCTCGAAGGAGGATCAGGCTCCAGAGAGGCCAGGGAGTCTCCCTCTCCCTCTCACATTCTGCAGGAAACATCTCCTCCCTCCCTGAGACCTCGGACGCCATGTTCAGTGCCTCCGTTGGAGCACACCTGCGTTCTCGGAGTCTGCCCCGAGACACCAGCCGAATGTTGGACAACGGACATAACGACAGCGACGATGAGGAGGACCTTTCCCCCTTCGACACTGAGGGGTTTCTGACTGGCTCTAGGAAGTTGACTCTGAAGGATGAAGAGGAGAGTACTGATGACCAGGCCATGTCTGAACACCAGCTAGGAAGCCTTAAGTACAAGCAGCTGTCACAGAGTCCGGAGCGCAGCTGGATGGAACGGACCAGATCTCACCTGCCTAGAAAAGCTGACATGGGCAGCTGTGAGATCTCATCTAGCTCGGACACCTTCAGCAGCCCTATGCACTCCATCTCTGCTGCAGCAGTGCTGGGAGGCCAGATAGACCATAAGGAGGACCACCAGTCCTCCAGCGGGAACTGGAGCGGGAGCAGTTCCACATGCCCCTCCCAGACATCAGAAACAATCCCTCCTGCCGCATCTCCACCTCTGACCGGCTCCTCCCACTGTGACTCTGAGCTCTCTTTAAACGCTGCCACTCATACTAACGATGACCAGACAGGCTTCTTGCTGGACCACTATCAGGGCCTCAGGACCCAAAGAGCAGGCTCCTTCTCCTCCACAGCTATGGACATATTAGAAGAAGTTGGTGTCAGCAATCCCATCGAGGGGGAGTGGAGTTACCCCAATCCAGAGCCTCCGGGGTCACAGGGCTTCAGCCCCGAGCCAAGCAGAGAGGCTGAGAGCAGTCTGGGCTGCCCCAGTTTCACCAGTATGGCTACCTGTGAGAGCAGCTTCTCCGACAAACCACCGTCAGAGAAAGCAGACACCGTCTCACACTACTCTGTGGACAACGAAGGTTACTACACCTCCATGCACTTTGACTGCGGCTTGAAAGGTAGCCAAAGCTTCACTTATAATAACTATGCACCCTCAGGCACTGACTGTGGCCTGTCAGACTCAAGTGGTCACATGACACTGGGAAGACGCTGCCTCTCCTTAAAAAAACCAAAGGTGAAGCCATCGCCACCTAAGAGGAGCTCCTCCTTAAGGAAAATATGCAGTGAGGGAAACATCCCTATTAAGAAAGAACCAAAGATTACATGTGGGCAGCAACTTCATCTGTCTGCAAAGGAGAGGAAACTGCAGCTGGCTTTGTCTGGCTCTCTGGCTCACACTGAAAACTCCTCACTGGTCAGAGAAACCCGGGTAGGCTGGGGGGTTGAGGGCTCAGCTGATCTACCCGACTTAGTCTCCACAGATACACATTCATTTAAGGATGAGGGGGTTTTGCAGTCAGACTATGCAGATCTGTGGCTCCTGAATGATTTGAAATCCACAGATCCTTACCGATCGTTGTCAAACTCCAGCACAGCTACAGGTACGACGGTTATTGAATGCATCAAGTCACAGGATAGCTCTGAGTCGCAGACGTCCCAGTCTGGCTCCAGAGCTACCACCCCTTCACTTCCATCAGTCGAGGAAGATTTCAAGCTCATATCCCCAGAGAAGTTGGCAGGCCTGGCAAGCCCATCCAGTGGCTACTCCAGTCAATCAGAAACACCCACCTCCTCATTTCCCTCTACCTTTTTCCCTGGGCCACTGTCTCCATCAAGTGGTAAAAGGAAGCCCAAAGTCCCAGAGAGGAAGTCCTCTCTCTCATCACTTTCACTTCAGTCACTGTCCTCTAGGGATGGTGCAACCTCAAAGAGAGATCTGGAGCTGCCAATTATCCCTCCCTCTCATCTCGACTTAAGTGCCCTTCACAGCGTCAACAACAAGGCGACAGCTTACAAGACCCAGATGCAAATCCTTCACCAAAACAAACAAAAAGCAGCAGTGTCAGCCAAGCCTATAGTACCTCACAACCCAGAGGTATTCAACGCCTATTGCCTGTCCATTACGCCCACGGTGCTGAACTCAGTACACCTCCGATCGATCAGTAAGGAGCAGCATGAAAATCACACCACTTCCAAATTCCAATATCCCACTGTGAACTCACCTAGCAAACTTTCCACTAGTAAATCTTTAGAGCTTAAGAGTCCCGCACTGTACAACTCACACCACCATCATCTTCACCTATCCTCAAAGGAGTCAGGTGTGTTTACCTCAAATGAAGAGCTTACAAGTGGAAGGTCAGCATGTGAGACTGAGACAAGGAACGAGCCGGAGCAAGAGGCTCCTGCAAAGTGTGTGACAACAGTCAGGCTCCAGTCAGACTCATGTTTGAACCAGAAAGGTCCAGAAGTCCCCGAACAAACCAGAAGTCAAGAAAGAGAGACCTGTAGAGAGCTGCCAGAAACACCTGCCTGCCTCGGAGACTTCAGCTCACAGTCTGAGACTTTACAGCAACAGCACTGTGAAGAAGAAGAAGAGGCGTATCCTCCTCCTCCTCCTCCTGTCCTACACAGTTCCCCCAATAGACCCAGCAGTCAGGATAAAGTGCCTGCTACTGACAGTCAGTTGGAGACGCTGCAAAGCAGTCCAATCAGCAATGAAGACAGCAAAGAAATGGATTCATTGGGCGAGTCATCCGAATGCATCTCACAGGAAAGCAAGGAGTCCATGCCAGACATGGAGGACTATTTTAGTAAAGGTAATGACTTAATGTCCTTGTGATCCCCTCCTCAACCCCAGTTTGTACTCAATGCAACTCTTTGCTCTGCACCTTTTTCTCCTGCTTTTTGCCTCTGTACTGTCTGTTGCAGTCATTAGCGCTGCCACAGCAATAAGGTCTGTCATCTCTGTGTGGAGTTTGCATGTTTTCTGTGTGCCTGTCTGGACTTCCTCCTGTGACACAAAGCTGTGTGTGTGTTTGGGTAACTGGTGATTCTGAATTACCTGTAGGTTTGGATGTGAGACTGTGTGGTTATCTGCCTCTCTCTGCTCCTGTGAGGGACTGGCAACCTGCTCAGGCTGATATGATGTACCCTTCATTTTGCTCTGTGACTGCTGGGGTAGACTGCAGCCCCTCTGAGACTGTAAGCTGGATAAACATTTAATAAAATGGGTGGATGGAGGTCAATTCTGCCTGTTTTTGTCCCTAAGTTCTTCCAATTGTGGGAATATTCTCTGAAATAGGATTTATGGCTCAAAAAATTGCTGACCCCTGTAAAGGATCATAGAGCTTGTTAATTGTGAATAAAAGTTCTAGGATGGAGGTGCAAGATAAATTTTAAGGGTGCGGAAACGATCTTTTTTATGTATGTAAACTGAATCTCTTCTGTAATTTTACTTATACAAAAGCTGCTGAAACTTGATATATCTAATAATTGAATGAGCTTTTTGAACAAAACAAATTATGAAAAATTGCTAAATGGTTGGTTAGTGTGGAATATACAGGATGCAGTATATTCATATGTGTGAAATGTTCCTGTTAACAGACTCCACTCTCAGTGACAGCACTCTGTCCTCAGTGCATGATGAGTCAAGGCCAGAGGATGACACCGTGTTTCTGTCCCCCACTAAGTCTCGCACCACTGAGGATTTATTCGCTATGATACACAGGTTAGTATCTTAGATAGATAGGATTTTGTTTGTGTATACTCAAAATGTACAGAAATTCTTTAATCAATGTGGTCTTCTTCAGGTCTAAAAGGAAAGTGTTGGGGAGAAAAGACTCTGCCGAGTTGGGTGTGAGGAATCGCCTCGGTGGCGCTTCGGGGAACACGCCACCTAACAGCACTGCAAGCTCCCCTATCTCTGTGGCATCACCTTCCTCCGCTGTGACCCCACCTGGCCTGCACAGAGTCCCCGGTCCCATTTATAGGAATGCAAAAAAGTCCAGCACCTCCAACGAGGAGTTCAAACTACTGCTGCTTAAGAAAGGAAGCCGCTCCGACACTAGTTACCGCATGTCAGCTACAGAGATCCTCAAGAGTCCCATCACCCCTAAATCACTTGGAGACACTCTAATGGAGTCACCCATACACCCCGACGACAACACCTTCCCTCAGCAGCAGCCCCAATCAGGACAAGACCACCTTTCCAGCCCCTACTTGAAAACCAACGCAGAGGGCTTTTCACCGAAATCCTTCCATACATCTGCGGCCTCAAGGCAGGGACGCTCCAGGATCCCACCACCTGCCAACAGCAGCCGCTACAGCATGCGCAGCAGGCTGTACTCAACACCCATGCAGGCCATCTCTGAGGGTGAGACAGAGAACTCGGATGGGAGCCCTCATGACGACCACTCATCGCAGGGCTCCACATAAAAAAAAAGCAATAATTAAGTAATTTTATTAGTTTACAGCAAACAGACAAACAAAAAAAGATGGACCAGAATGAGGAGAGAAGGAGAGAAAATTAGACGAACGTGAACATTTTTTAAAGAAAATCATAAATTTAGTAATTGATGGTGTTTTATACAGACTGCATTTCTAAGAAAACATCTTTATGAAATGAACAGTTGGCTCTTGTTTTGCGTCTGCATTATATGGAAAAATATGATTTACAAACCGGAAAATCTTCTCAGTTCTAAATTTAAACGGGGACCTATTTTTCTTTTCTTTCTTTTCTATCATATATGTATGGAATTTTGACTTATTAACTCAAAATTTTAAGAAAAGTAACTCCAAATTTAGAGTTAGCTTTGCCAATCAGTAATCTACGTGAATGACGTCATTTTCTTGTTAACCAGAAGGATATGGCGAGTTACTAACTCAAAATTTTGAAGAAAAGTAAGTCAAAATGTAAAGTTACTTTTTGAGAAAGATAACTCGAAATTTGGAGTTATGAATACTTTTTTTTTTTGTGGCGGAAACAGGCTTCCATATATATGTGATGCTCATAGCAACACATGGCCAGAGTTCAAGGTATAATAATGAGGTCAGTGCACCTAAAAGTAATCTTTTTTGACCTAAAACTCTGTCAGAATTAATGGAGATCCCCAGTATGGTCAGAGGCGGTACCATCCCATATAAAATAAATAAGCATTATTATGAACTGTGAATCACTCTAAGCTACTCTAGAGTCTGCAAATAAAAGTATGGAGCTGGAAATGAGTTTAATAGCTGTTCTGTTAGTTTAAGGCACATTTCCCAAAGTCTTGTAGACCCAACCCAACAACGTAACGTTTTTAGAAATAAGCAAGAGAAGTTGATCTGTTATAATTAACCGTATGTATTCTGTGAATACAATTAGACGGACATTTCCTCTAACCAGTTACATCGAATGATTTTAATACCCTCAAAATGAACATCAGAATTGACAAATGTCAACATTCAGTCCCTATTCATATTTCCTGTAAACAGAATTGATACTATGTATATTTTACTCAGTTTGTCATATACTAAATTATATCAAAGCTTATTATTAGAATATTTTAACATACTGTACATATAGCAAGAAATGGTAGACGTAATTATTGGTGAGACAGGAAGTGTCAAAGCCGAGCACTAACTTGACAATCTCGTGAGACAAGAAAGGAGCAGGTGTTAACATGGGACATGAAAAAGTGATCAAAAAGTTCGAGGCAGGGAACTCGGAGAGCTGGAAAAGAATGCTGAAGTCATAAAGAAAAACTTACCAATGGTCATTTCTGGTTTGCTGACATGATGTGTTTATGCATTGTCGAAAGAGGCAAGTGGAAAGTACTCAGAGGATCAAATATGCCTTATTTTATCCAACAGGAGAAAATATGTGATGAAGCAGCTGAGGTCACAGCAAGTTGAGTGTTTTTGTGAGATTTTTGATTGTATGGTTAAATATGGAGCCGGGTTATTAAGTCTCTTGAAAAGAGAAATGTCTGGATTTGGCATTTTCTGCCCCTCAATATTCAAAAAAATATAACTTCTATATTTTCTGTCTCAAACCAATCTAAATATATTTATTTTTATAACATACACAAAAAACCTTTGATCAAAAATATGCAATGAAGTGCTGGAATTTTTATTTTTTATTCACATACTTATTTTGTTCATAAGAGATGTGTTTTAGATCTTATACGAGACACTGGTTACAGAGACAAATTGGAAACTTAATTATAAAATTTCATTAAAAATGTAATTAAATGCCAAAAATATAAATGTAAGGTTTTGGTTGTAACCCTGGTATATTTTAGTCCCATGTATTCACCATAATTTTATAAGTACATGGAGCTTATTGGAGTGATGGTACTCAAACATTATGCAAAACTGGCAGAAGCCTTGTTCTTCCCTGTAGGTATGCTGTCAATACCCTTTTAATTTTCATATTAATAACACTATATAACAGGGTACACAATGAGTTAAGTCTGTGAACCTTCATTCCAACTTTTTTGTTTTTTTCCTGCACTGACAAAATGATGTTTGTGAAGTTTTTTTGTCTCTTGCTGTACCTGGAGATATTTATAGATGTGTACATGCAGCTGTTTCCCTTAATAATATTCACACCCCGAGGATGCTTTAGGAGTGAAGTACAGGAATGCTTCTACCAAAGGCTAAAAACATGTGGTGGCATTGAACTGGTGTCGTTTACTTGACTGAAATGTTCTTGAAAACAAACCAATAATAAAGAACTAAACTTACGGTACTAGATGCATTTCATCTAGATACAGACCAACCTCTGTATACAGTACTTGTAGGTTTTAGTGGGGTTTTTTGTACAAACTTGTAAATTAAATAACGTTTTAGAATTGTTACAAAGGTTGTTGAATTGCTTCTTATGTAAAATAAAAAAACATGTTTTTAAAGTTTACATTAATTTCAGACCTTTGTATATTTTTGAGCTGTGGAACACGTTGTCTTGTATTTATTTTTTAGTAAGCATTCTTGAAATCCCATAGTAAATCCTATCAAAGCCAACTGCTAGCACAACAGGCTGCTTAGCAAATGTGTATAAAAAGATGAATAAATGTGACTGCTTTGAAAATGTCTCATGTATCTTTAATTTCTGGCTACTTCAGATCAAAATACCAACCTTTCTTCACGTGTTGCACTCTTACAACACAGCCTGTCTGATAGACTCACGAGCCCCTTCGTCATTAATACATCATGTTGAGATATTTTTATAACACATTTCTATTCGACTTTGCATTAGGGTTAGGGTTAGATATAGTTACCTACTCTTTGGATGTTTAATGCCCGTTTATCCATACCATTAGTTATTTACAGTATTTCATAAAAGTGAGTACACCAGTCCGTGAGTCGTTTGGTACCGGGCCGCAAGAGTTGAGGCTCAGGTGTGAAATTTATGTTTTTCAGGGTTTTTATTGTTATTTTTTATAGTTTTTATCGTTAACTCGGTTTCCCTGGGTCTTTTCCCGTGTGTTATGAATAAATTTTCTTTTTTTTTTTGTACCAGTACTGGTTTTATTTTGTTCTATTTATCCATGACACTGTAAAGGTCTGCCCGTGAAAATATTGTCGGACATAAACCGGTCCGTGACGCACAAGAGGTTTGCTGGTATTTTTGAAATCTTTTATTTTTAATCAAATGTTTATCTTGCTATTTATGTCAAACATTAATCTATACTGTCAGCAATTTCTGCCATACACACCTATAGAAGTCACACATACACCTAAAATATATATATTTTTATTTATAATATAGGTATATATTTTAGCTGTTTGTCCCTTGTGTTTAGCTAAATACTTAATTAGCTTCTCTTCACTGTTAGCCAAAAATATCAGCTGCTAGCCATTTAAACCTAATACATTTTAATATTTTATCACTATTTATAGCTAAATAGTTCAACTTTTTATCCATTAAGCCAAGCTAGCATTTTTAAAAATTATTTTTGTCTAGTTTATTCACAGTTTTAGCTTGTTTTTAGGGAACTGTTAGCTTTCAACTGCTAGTCATACTTTCTGTCAGGGCAAGCAAGGCATCTATTTCTATATTATCAGTATTATCTAAATGTAATGTAAAAACCTCCCAAAGTGAAAGCCTCTTCTTGCATTTCAAACACTTTTGACATAAAGCAGTTCCCCTGCTTACATCCGTCTTTTAAATTACTGCCATCTGTGGCCCCAAGCTTGCTTCTGATTCTACTGGAACCACCAGTCTATGATGGTTATGCCCACCATCACTAAAGCCTTAAGGTGGGTGAGCTATGAGACCTGCAGCTGGTTGTTTATGTAAATCTACCTGGTGCCTGACAATGAAAGGTAAAAAGAAAGACCTCCTAGTAAATAACTTGCGTGCTTCTATAGCCAAATATAAACAGTTGGGATGAAAGTTAGCTCAAGCCACAACTTCCAAGCTAGCAAGACGTATCTGTTCATGCTAGCATTAACAGTGCCTATACACATACGCAGCACACACATACCGCATATTCACAGCATGCAGTAAAGACAGGCATAATTATGACAAAAATGAACTTAAAACACACTCAGAAACATCAGGGTAGATAAAGGTATAATTAATGTTGGAAAAACATTATGCCTACCTCTTTCACAGGGGAATTGTAGAAAAAGGGAGAGGCCAAACAGGTACCCCAAATTTATAGGGTTGCACCATAGAAGAAGAACAGGATGGGGAGGGGTTCTAACTGATAATGAAGATAACTACAGGCTTGGAGGTCCTAAAAGTCAGTTATACCAGGAACAGTGTAGGGTTTAGAACACATTTTGTGTAATTATAACAAAATATAATTTATGACCCGGTTACATTTACACTTTTATGGTAATTGTGGACAAATCTCTGGTCTTTCAGGGAAACTGTTGGGAGACTAGCATGTTGGACAAGCTGCCATGGGATTTTCTTTCACAGCTCTGAGATTAGTTGCCATCTGCCATCAGACCCACTCAAAGTGTTTTTGAAATGCCTTCAGTGTATCTGACAGTTCATAACACCTATGTAGGACAAATGGCTTTTTATCTAGTTCAAGTGAAGACAAATACATTTTGTTATAAAAGTAAAAAAGCACTGCAGAGTTTGACTATAACAGTGTCTAACTGTCTTCATATCCAAAACACATGTTTGGCTTTTAAAACCAAATGCATATTTTAGATGACTTGAAGCTTCTATACTTTATGTTTTTTGCTATGTTTGCCTTTGCTTCTTAACTGCAATGTTGGGCACCAATATGAGCTCACCTGTTTCAGCAGGTAAGCCATGTTCTGAAGGCTTTAGATCCAGGGCTGAAGTTCTCCTCAGACCATTTTCTGTCACCCATCATTACTTTCTCCCCACTTTCTCATCTACCCTCAGGACATTTTTTTGCATGTCCAGTAAATGTGCCAACTTCTAGACTTCATGAGGTCTAAAAGAATGACAAGGCTATATTTTACATATTTGCCTCCAGGTTTTACATATAGAACGGTGCACAGGGCACTGTTAGCATTGTTGCCTCACAGCAAGAAGGTCCTGAGTTCAATTCCACCATCAGGCCAAGGTCTTTCTATGTGGAGTTTACATGTTCTCCCCATGTTTGCGTGGGTTCTCTCTGGGTACTCTGGCTTCCTCCCACAGTCCAAAGACATGCAAATGGTTGTCTGTGTCTATGTGTTTGCCCTGTGACAGACTGGTGACCTGTCCAGGTTGTAGGGATAGGCTCCAGCCTCTTTCCTGATATCTTTGAACCAGATTGCTGAAATCTGGGTTCATCACTCCATAGGACATAGTGCCACAAAGTTTCAGTTTAGTTCTTTTGCTGAAACCATTTCTGATGAGTCTTCAGTGAGCAGATGGATTCACTGAAGGGCCAGATGCATCTGTCACGTCTTTTCTAGATTTAAAAAAAAAAAAATCTTACAGACACGACTTTCAGTTAGTGTTCATGTGCTGTATATAGCTTTTTAGGTCGGACACTTATTTGGAGCATCACTTGTCCAATTTCCTCAAATTGTTTAAAAACATACTACTTGATGTCATTTTTATGCTTAAATTATTCATAGAGTCTGAAACTGGTCAAGTGCAAGAAGTGTACTGAAAATGAGTGGAGAATGGAGCCAATGTTCAAAGAATGACCTGTAAAGACTTTCAGCAATCCCAGAGAAGTAGACCTTTTTAAAAATAAATAAATAAAAGAAAGTCTCTATCCTTAGAAGCAAAATATAAAGAAATGAAGGTTGGCTCAAGGGTTTTGCACACTACTGTATATCTCAGGATAAACCTCTTTAAGCATATCATTGTTTTTTAAAGAACAATGCAAAACATCTCAAAACAAGATAAAGGGAAAAAAATCAGCCTTTGACATAGCAATCAATTTTACAAATCTATTAAATGAATTAATGAATAAGAAATAAAGGAAGCAAAATGATAAAGCATGCTTGAAAAAGAAAAGTGATGACAGGGAGATCATATTTAAAAGCAGCTTATTTCAGTAAGAGGGAGCTTTTTCCAGCTTCCTTTGAATTGCCAGTAAAAAGGATCTGATCAGAGCTTCTTACACAATTTGAAGAATGAGAAAAAAATAGTTTCAGATGATACGGACAGTTAAAACATTAAAAAATAAACTGATATCAGTGTTGTTGTGATATATCAAGAAATAATGCACTACTGTCCTTTTCAAAATAGGAATCGGACTGAATCCCTGGCGTCTAGAAGCTGGCTGTAGAGGTGGTAAAGCAGGCAGAGATCTGAAGACCTGGAGGTGGAGCAGGAATGGGAGTCTGAAAAGCAGAATAACAACAACATACATTTAATATACATAAAACTGAAGCTGATTGGTTTCTAGAAAGTGGGAAAGAATCTTATTGGAGCAGAGCATTTCCACAGCATGTCTTTCATCCTGTCTTCCTTCTCTCACCCCAACCGGTCGCACCAGATGGCCACTCCTCCCTGAGCCTGGTTCTGCCGGAGGTTTCTTCCTGTAAAAGGGAGTTTTTCCTTCCCACTGTCGCCGAAGTGCTTGCTCATAGGCGGCCATATGATTATTGGGATTTTCTCTGTATGTATTATTGTAGGGTCTACCTTACAATATAAAGCGCCTTGAGTCAACTGTTGTTGTGATTTGGTGCTATATAAATAAAATTGAATTGAATTGGATGTCGATGACGAGACTGAGTATTATGGCGTGGGAAAGTGAAACTGATGACAAGAATGGAATAGTGGCTTTATTTCATTGCATACTAAATAATAAAGCAGCACAGATTTGTCGTGATCCTAATTCTGATTTTGATTTTTGAACCTTTTGGGTTGTTTGCTTTCCCTGTTGGTTGTCCTTCTGTGTTAGCCCTGCGATAGACTGGTGACCTGTCGTGGGTGTTGGCCTCTGACAGCTGGGATAGGCTCTATCCCAGCTGTCAGACTGATAGATGGATGGCTTGTTATAATTTAATCTTATTTTGGAGTCTAATTTGTTCCCTCAGTGTTCCCTGTCTTATCCTCTTGTGTCAGCTCCACTATGTTAAGTTCATTCATGTGTCAAGTCTAATCTGATTTATTCTAATCAGATTTGACTTTTGATTCTATAGACAGAATTAAATCAAAGCTAATTTATGTAATTCTTAAAAGAAATACCCAGATAAGTGACCATAGGCCTTTCAAGATGAATAACCAAGTGCCTAGCCTGCAGGTGTCTTTATCTCCATTTCTACTCTCATCATGACCTGTGTCAGGTGTGGTCTGGACTGTGTGAATAGTGCATTCTAGGGGTTTATTTGAGATGAACACTAGAGGGAGTTCTTCATCTGAGTCCACAGCAGGATGTTCTCTGGGTAATTCAATGCAAATTGAGTGTAAATTTCACGTAGGCCTCTTTGTGTCCCATCTGTGATCATTTTAAACATCTGAATGGGTCTGCACATGTTTCCCTATGTATGACAGATTCAGCTCTTAGCTGCAGTTCCTAACAGGCCATATCTCCATATGTTTTGTCACTTCCATGGTCATGAGCCAGCTCCACACTCAGAGCTTTAAGTTCCTTTGTTGCTCTGGCTAATGTCAGACGGGCCCGTGACGGACAAAAACGACTTGTTCTCGGT